AAATTATCCAACCTGAAAAACAGAGACAAAAAAAAAAAAGTGGGGGGGGGGGGAGGATGGATGCTCAATGATCTCTGAAAAAACAAAAAAGGGTCTTCTAGTACTCATGCCATTACAGTCCTAGAGTTCTTCGAAGAAAGTACAGTGCAGAAAAAAAATTTGAGGAAACAAATTGGGAGGCTGAAAACCTCCCAAGCTTGGTGAAAGACAAGCCTACATATTTATGAAGATGTGTAAGTCTCAAACAAGGTAATCCATGCCCAGACATACTCAAAAACTAAATCTAAAGACTAAGAAACTACCCAGAGAAAAATGATGCACTACTGTGAGGAAATCAATGATTCAAACAATTGAGAACTCCTCCTCAGACACCATGGAGGCCAGAAGGAAGTAACACAATGTTTTAAAAGTGTTGAAAGAAAAGAATTGTCAACCCCGGGTAAAATAGTCTCACGTGTTGAATATCTAAATATCACCTTCTTAGCTTCACTATTCTTAGTGTTGTTCAATTCCTTGTCTGATAGAAAAGACTAAATAAAAATGGGCCCTCCCTGGTGGCACAGCGGGTTAAAGCACAGCACTGAGAAGCTAAAGCCACTTCCGCATGAGTTCTATTCCCGCCTGCCCCGGAGGTGACCACATGGTGCGGCAGACCTCTCCTGACCTGCCCACTGCTCCCCTCAGCAGTGTACTTCATCGATCTGCCTGTTCTGTCCCACACTCTGTCTCTGGTGAAGCCTCTCACCGCCCCTGAGCCTCTGGCCTGTACCCCAATTCTATGTACAAATAAATAAACCTTTAAAAAAAAATGATGTAGACAGTTACATCATTGTCTATTGTCTGGTAAACTGGGGTGGGTGGGTGGTGGTGGTGGTTTCTGTGCTACTGAGTCTGCAAGGTCTCAGGAAGGCTGCTGTAGGGAGAGAAGCCTCGTGTGATCGTGTACTTCTGGATCCCTAAGGCCCTTTCAGTGTACACTCCAGATGACACACAACAAGCACCCTATGCACACTCTAGTGTGACTTTCAGGTGTATCATCAATTTTATTAGACTGTTAAGAGCAGAAATGAGTACTTTATGCTTCTTGGTATTCCATGATCTAATACAGTATCTGTTCTATCTGTTCAATTAGTTAAAAATTAACGTATACACACGTGTGTGTGTATATATATATATATATACACACATAATATATATATCTTTTCCTTTTCTTTCCTCATTGTGATCATTATGTATCTTTACCTAGTAAAAACACGTTGCATTATGCATATAAATCCATGACCAATGTGGTATTTATTTTAGTTTACATATGTGATTATCACACATGTATCATTTTGCAACTTGCCTGTTTCAAGTTCCATTATGGTTCTACCAAGACTGATGTATGTATAGAGAAGGCTTGTTTCTAATTTTGTGTAAGTATCTAATATAGTGTAAATCATTGTATCAGGCAGGTTTCCTTTCTTTCTTCCTTCCCTCCCTTTTGGGAGGATAACCTTGTAGTCTATCACATTTTATTTGTTATACTACTAATGGACATTTAGTTTGTCAATAATTTTTCACAATAGTAGTCATCTACTAATAACAATATACATATTGAAATTCTATGTGCTTACATAGGACCAAGCTACATATCACTATATAATTAGGCTATGGTGATACACACACACAGACACACACTCATAGTTTGACACAACAGTTTCAGTATCAAGAAATACAACTGAAAAGCACCGAGTGAACTGAAACAAACAGATTCATATGATGGCTTCTAGAAGTAAGGAATAGAGTGAGGTTTTCCTAGATTTAGCTTCACATAACAGGGATCTGTAGTTTGATCACTCAGCCAGACTAGAAATGGTAGGTGCAAATGAGAAACTGATACATAATGATACAATACAACACACTTATTCAGGATAAAGATTCTAAACTAATGAGCCACACTAATAAAGAAACTTCAATCCCTGATGAAGCTGGTTATTGAACATTGCTAATGTATGTCAGAGTTTAATCTTTTAATTTATCGCCATCAAAAAGGCTTCTGAATAAAAAGGGATTACCCTCTACAACTTCATATAAATTTGGGCCATGTACCAAAATTAACTGTTGGGAAAATTTAAAAATCAAATATTAATTGGTGTATGGCCCTAGTACCAGGATATATCCAAACTGTTGTAACATACCAGCTTTTGGTAAAAAAATATGCAGAAAAAGAAGAGGGACAGTAGATGATTTCTACAATTATATAGATCATTATTTTAACTAGTATTCAAATAATTTCACAAACTAACTTTCTTTGAAGAGACTGGCATATAGCTCCATCACAGTTAGACTATATAAAACACAGACATGATGTTCAACTTTTCTAGTCTTTGCTTTAAATACAATTCAAAATTTAAAAAGGGAGGATGAGCAAGCACTAAGATTTAAAAAATAAGAAATTGTGAACATTTGCAAAGGTATAAGGAATAGAATTAATTTCTTAATAAGAAATAATTGTTATAGACTGTGTTTTAAGGTGTGTAGTAGGATAAACACAATTCTGGATTTATTATACAAAGCATAATGACATGGTGACAATTGTGAACCAATGATGCAATCTTATAGTGAACATCAAGGAGTCAAACCTCCCTGTATATTCTTCCCTATTTCATTCTTCTGTCTCACACCTCTCCAAACCTGTAACTCTATAAAGCAACCACTGACTTTTCTGTGGTACTGACAAGAAGGGAACGACTGGGAACATTTTTAAGGGTGAAACTGGTGTAAATTCATCTTAAGTAAAAAAAGCTAATTACCTCATATATAGCATGGATGGCAAATAGCATCCTATTTCATACTGCTGTGAAACAAATTTCACCTCAGCACCATCTCTATTAAAAAGGGAATCATTTATTTAAGATACTTTCTAAAAGCTTTCACACAGTTGATTTCTATGTGACTTTATCCTCAAATAGTCTATTAAGCTGATCAAAAATAAGTCTTTTTTTTTTTAAACTTCTGAAAATTAAGATGTTTAAGGATACCACAGCATAGTGTTCTATTAGAAAATGGCTAAGAAAAGGTTAAAATGTTTACAGGTAACTTACCTCATGTAAATTCAGTTCTTTTACTTTCTCTTTTAATATAACCTGTAAGACAAAAGTATGTACTTATGTCCATATAGATACATACTAAAAAAAACTTCTCATTATACTCACAAATATTTTTCTTTTGTGTATATAGCTCATTTTCCCTCATATTCAATATTGGAGAGAATCTCTTATAGTTTGAGACAGAACATTTAAGCAACATTCTTTTAACTTGAGGAACGATGCAATAGTCTCCTGAAAAGCAATTTTAAAATCTCTTTGAGAACAGATTAAATTTTGTGAAAAGACATTTATACATGCCCATCAGGACTAAGTACAAAAAATGATGGGAAATAAATGAGGTCAGCTGTCTCATCATTCAGTAAACATGGCACTGGCTGATGGGACTGAGTTACTTGTAATTTACAAGAGACTAAAAAAAAGTTAGGTTGGTAAGTTTTGCTTACTATTTTAGATCATTATTATCAAAAACATTAGCTTTATTCAACATCATTTAAAAGGGCTTAAAATCCACCCAGATGCTATCCTAACCTGAATCTGAAGTCAACAGATTTTACTTGGTCTTCAAGAAGAGCTTAAAGAACACATTAGTGGAGATAAGTAAAAGGTCTAAGGGTCTGTGGCAATGATCCAAGCATCTGGATCAACTGAGACAAAAAGACCAAATGCCAGTTAAAAGGAATGCCCAGTGATAAGAGTGCAGATTACTACATAAAAAGGAAATTTCTGAGAACTAACTTACTAGAGTTATTTCATCTTAAAAGTGACATTTGGGGCCCTCCCTGGTGGCACAGTGGGTTGAAGCACAGCACTGAGAAGCTTGGGCCACTTCCGCATGGGTTCGATTCCCGCCTGCCCTGGGGGAGATCCACATGGCGTGGCAGACCTCTCCTGGCTCGCCTGCTGCTCCCCTCAGCAGTGTACTTTGTTGATCTGCCTGTTCTGCTCCCCGCTCTGTCTCTGGTGACTCCTCTCACCCTCCGCATCTCTAGCCTGTACCCCAGTTCTATATGAATAAATAAATAAATCTTTAAAAAAAAAAGTGACATTTGGGAAAAATCTTTTAAATTTTGAATCCTACATTCCTGAATCAAAAATGGTTTTGTGGGCAAGTCACACTTTCAGAAATCACAACCAGAAGTTATCATCCAGCTATGTAGGAATGTACTAAATTTTCTACTCAGTGTATTTCAAAGACCAAACTTACCATCTGCCTTGTGACTTGACTATCAGTTAGTGAGGCAGATTTTACTTTCTACTTATAGGTAAGGTTTATGGAGATTATGATAGAATTTATATAGAAAACTAGCACATGCACTTCTCTGTATGAACCTGTGAGACCTGTGGGCAAAAGCCTAGGGTTACCTACAAACATTAACGTGGGTATTTAAGAAACTCACTGGCGTCCAGATTTTAATAGGCATAGACAAAAGATGGGCAAAAGATGTAATCCTAAAACAGTGAACTGGTTCTCTAATGTCAGTATCAAAAAGGTTAAAGGCTCAAACTGAAGTTTGGAAAAAAAATCCTAAGGACACAGGAATAATTTCAGACTAAATTAGACTAAAAGAAAAGTAAGAAAAACAAATTCTACTTGGTCTTCAAGAAAAGTTATTAAAGAACAAATCAGAGAAAAACTATGCAAGGGCTATGGGTTAATGGCAGGATTGAAGCATCTGGACTTTTAGTGATGGGAAACGAACTAATATTTAAAGGGCTGTCTAAAGGGATGGAGACGAGAACATTATAACAGAACTAGTCGTCTTTCTACTGGAGGAGGTAAAATATTTATTTAACTGTATCTCTGCAATCCAGTAAGAGTTCATAGCAGTAATGTTAAGGACTGTTAGCTATAGCATTTCCCTTTAATAAAATGCGGGCTAAAGTTGCTTGTTAAATTGTATTTTATTACCTGAAATTTCTATGAATTCAAGGATACTTTAAGTGAAATTGATTTACTTTATACCGCAAACTGGCAAACAAAATGCTAAAATGAACACAAATCCAAGTGGAAATCTGAGTACTTATTTTTTGATTAGAAAAAAAAACATGATCAAAGTCAATCTGAAGTAAATTTCTCACCTGTTTGTAGGCATAAAATTCTTTATGTGCTTGATGTCTTAGCCTAAAAGACAGAATGAGCAATGTGATATTTGAGGTTTCCAAAATAGCAATTTGAAAAAAAAATTAAAATACTGTATTTTGATATTAATTTATATATGGCTTAAAATACAGAATTGTTATTGTGGAATATACCCAAATGACATACCTGTTTCCATTTATGACGTGTCTAGTGAACTATAAGGTGTTAGAAGATAAGTTCTAACACAAATGTAAGTTCTAGAGAAATCTCATTAAAACAAAATCTCAATACAACAAATTTATTAATGAGCTGATAATCCCTGTTTATATTTTAAATCATATAGCTAATTAAAAAATATATAGCTAATAATGAATAAAAACTTTGAGAGGACAAATATACTGACAATAGTGTAACTATGACCAAGTTCAATATTTAGGAGACTTGTAGCACGCCTGTAATGATTTGCTTAATTATTAAAAGGAATATAATGATATATTCCTTATTTCTTAAAACTTATTTCTTATTTCTTAAAAAACTTATTTCTTAAAAAAAATTTACCCAGAATAACAATTGACATATTACAGTAATAAAATCTACGAGTGAACAGTATATTTTAAAATGATTTTTAACTGTAAAAAAAGTTTCTTCTGACTGCTATAATTATTATATAAGTATTATTTCTTTGAGTAACACCAAAAAATCATTAAGCAACAAGCATGTCTTTGAGACAGACGAAGTAATTATATTTTGTAAGACTATCAGAAAAGATTTGTTTTTAAGGAAGAATGTAACTAACTATATACTAAAGTTATTCAAATCTATCAGTAAATGCTCCTAAATATTGGTGGCAATATTAAATTTTCACTGGAAGTTGTTGATGATGTTCATCTTAAATATAGTCATGTAACAGGCAAACATTTAAAAAGTATTAGATGTATAACTGTTTAAGAAAATTTAATTTTTTACTCTTTCACGCTATAAAGTTTGTTGAAGAGTACAAAAATTTTGATAGTCTCAGTTTTGGCTTTGAAAACTAGGCCCTTGTTCAAGAGAAAAATGCTTGTTTAAATACTTAGTCAATCTGTTGGCTAAGTCCAGTCCTCTCTCCCTGCGAGGTACCCTCTCCACTTGTCTGTACTGTGCCCCAGGGCCTGTTTATTGCATGTACCTGAGAATAGTTCGCTGCTTTAACCTTTCAAATGTTAAGTGTTTTATGTAAATAATTAGTTTGACAATAAATGGAAGCTTAAAATTTTCTTGAGAGACAAGGAACTTAGGTTAAAGACTTCACTTTTGTCTTGGACTTTGTTTTCTGACTCTTAGTGACATTAGCTAACAGTGATGCAACATCCCCTCATAAAGCAAAAGTGAAATCTGTTAAAGCAGATCCAGTTTGGGGACAATGACTTAAGTGTATCTGGATCAATGGCTACTAGGTTGAAAAACAAATGACAATTTTCTCCTACAGAGTAAAATACGTCAGCACTGAAGGATTCATGTTGGTTTAAAATGTATTTTATTGATTAATAATTCACAGGTTGAAATTTTAGAAGATTTGCTAATCATTATACTTACAAAGTTTTTTTTAATCTAAGGGCAGAAAGTTTATTATTGTTGTTGAACATATTTGGAAGTAATGTAGCATGAAAATTGATTACCTAATCAAATAGCAGCAGAATAGCAAACTAAGGATGAAGACAAATATAGCAGTGCCAAAAACCACAATGTATATGTTGAGAGGCAAATTCTGGAATCCAATATTAGGCATCCTGAAGTTGTAATGTGGGAAATCTGAGCTCATGGGTGAACTGTAGAGGAAGAATAGAAAAAAAATCAGGAGTAAAAATTAAGAACATAGCTAGTGTTACCTTTGTACATATACAGAGGCCAAATTTTTCTAAGGTTTAATATCATTTGAAGCAAACACAACAAAGGGTTATATTCTTGTCGTTCATTTATCATGCCACAAATAATTTATTCATTACCACTATGTACCTGGCACTATCCCAAAAGCTAACCCTGCTAAGAGGTTTTACAAGTTACATTCATTCACAAAAAGATACTTCACTGAAATTATGCCAGTACCCAATAAACATAAAATATCTCAACCTCAAAGAAGCGTATAAAACCAAAAAGACAAGTTTTAAGATTTTAAAAACAGTTTAATCTTGCAGTAATTACAATATGTTTACTGATGAAACTTTGGAAATAACTTGGATATCTCAAAAGGAGGTAATAATTGAATAACGTACTGCAATGTTACCATGTTAAGGTTATAAAAATCTATCTTTTCAATAAATTTAACATCGAGGGGATGTAAAGATTTGTGGGAAAAGCTAATCAGGATATAAAAGATGATCCTGATTTTTAGAGTTGAAAAAAGGCGGGTGAACATGCATAAATGTATGTATGGGTGTGGGGAAGAGGGGCAGAAATGCCCGAGAGTTAACACACAAAATGTTAACACTGCCGTGTGGTTTGCTAGTCAGTTTATTAGGTCAGGCCCTATGTTAAGCAATTTATTGGCATTATTTTACTTACTTCTCACATAAAATTTCCATAGGTAGGTACCATCATCTCTCCCCATTTTACAGAAGAGGATTCAGTTTAGACATTTTGATCACATAACCATGACTGACCCTGTATGTATGAGAACCAAAGCCTCTCCAGTTCCCAAACCAGTGCTATAGTCTTTTACATGTGGTGCCTTTTATCATGAGAAAATAACAAATACTGTTTAAACATAAAAAGATTCCTTCTGTTAATTTGTTTGGTAATATATACTAATTATTACGGTGAAAATTCCATGAATGGAGACTGCCCTCCTCTTTAGGTGATACAGTGGCTCGTGAAACCCTGCTAGAACTTACCTTGTCATTTTGATTTTTATATAATACAGAGCAACTGTCAGACTATTAAGACCATATACTGATAACTGAATTACACTTTACTGCCAAAATCAAAACCGAACTGGACCAAACCTAGTAACCAAACACCACTTATATTTTTATTTATACAAAGTAAATTAGAAATATCTCTCACAGAAAAATTTGGCTTGGTAAAAAAGCTCTCACTTTAGGAAACAAGAAATTAAATATGACTTGGAGGTCTATCTAGCAGAGAGGAAACAGGCAAAACAAAAAATGACATGGTGGGAAAAGGATAGATTTATGGTCAGCATTTCTGGATGCTTTCCCAGGATGTCACTAACTAGATTTAGTGCTTGGCCTATTTATAGCTCAGGTTTTTGTTTTTTTTTTTCACCTTTCAAATGGATAAAATGAGACCATAGATATTGAATTGTTTGAAACTAAGAGTTAAGAGCAAAATACAAGGTTTTAGTGTGTGTGTATGTATACATTTTGACAGATGGGGGGATAATATTAAATAAAAGTAGTAAAATAACATAAAAGAAGTCTCTGGCAAGGGAGCCCAAGGACTCTTCTGAATACTCTGCCAACCAAAATATTAGTCAGTAGGTTTAGCAATATATAAAAAGTATTTCATACCACGATCAAGTGGGGTTTTATCCTAGGATATAAACTGGTTTAATATTTCAAAACCAATCAGTGTAATTCACCATATTAAGTGGCTAAAATAATGAAGACAAAAAAAAAATCACTTTATTAACTTATAAAAAAGGCATTTGACAAAATTCAACATCTATTTATTATTAAAAGCTTCCAGAAATAAAACAACAGAAGTAAACTTCAGCATGATAAAAAGCACCTACACTAGACAAAACAAACAAAAGCAAATACCAGTGTTAAAATAAATGGAGGGAGTCAACTAGGAAGGGGAAAAGTGAACCAAAGAAAACTGTATCAGTAAAATCTAGGAAGGAAAAAAGGAATACGGGTAGGTAGTTGTAAGAAAGCAAAAGAACCACAAAATAAAATGGTAAGAACAAGGTCTAAATTTAATTATGAGAAAAATGGATGATTTAAATCCCCCTATATTAAAGGAGCCTCTAGCCTTAAGAGTACATAAAACAATATTCAGTATATGCTGTTTATGCAAAAACCAACAAACACTTCAAACAATTTTAAGAAACCTTAAATGAATGGGGATTAAAAAATACAGCAAGCAAATATTATCAGAGAAAGTAGTAATGCCAAACTTCAAAATAAGAAATGAAGGGGTGGGGCCTCCCTGGTGGCACAAGGGATTACATCTCAGCACGATGAAACAATCTGCAGCCACTACAGCACAAGTTTGACCCCTGGCCAGGGAGCTGGCCCACATGGCACAACAGGCCTCTCCTGTCCCACCCACTGCTTCCCTCAGCTGTCTATTTCAGTGGATCTGCCTGTTCTGCTCCCTGCTCTCTCTGGTGAATCCTTTTATCCCTCCTTTCCCTGCACCTCTGGCCTATACCCCAACTCTTGTATGCATAAAGTTTATGAAAAAAGTCAAGTCAAATATATAAAACTAAGTATATTTTAACAGGAAACTGAAGAAAACATGAAAACACAGAATTAGAAACACAGAATTTGGTGAAAACATAGTTATGGTGTACTTAGAGTCTAACGCACCTCTAACAGATCAGGAGAGAAGAAAAGGGAGGACAGAGACAGACAGGGTGCGGGAGGGAGGGAAAGAGGAAGAAGAAGAAGAACTAACAGAACAAAGCCATTAACAAATAATAAATACATATTTGGAACATTTTGTCTTATAGAGAAAATGCATTCTTTTCAAATAATACAAAGTACCCTCATTTTACATAAACTGCTATGTCACAAAGGACATTTAAAAGAGTATAATTCTTTTTTTCCCAAAGACTTATTTATTTATGCATACAAGAACTGGGTGTAGTTCAGAGGTATGGGGGATAAGAGAAATCACCAGAGACAGAGTGGGAAGCAGAGCAAGTGGATCCAGTGAATTCCACTGTTGAGGGGAGCAGCAGGTGAGACAGGAGAGGTCTGCTGTGTCATGTGGGTCAGCTCCCTGGCTGGGGATTGAACTCATGCTTCAGTGGCTGGCACTAGCTTGAGAGTGCTGAGACCACCAAGGAGGCCCAATAAAAGAATATAAAGCTTACAGGCCACATTTTGTAACCGCAATGCAATAAGATAAAAATTAAAAGGTAAACAAAAGAAAATTAACTAGTTGAAAATTCAAAAATATAATCTTAGAAATGATTTGGATTTTGATAGTCAAAACAAGTCACAGGCCATTTATAAATTAATCACATTGCAAAGAAAAGCCTTTCATTTAGAAAAATTATCTTCAATATATTATCAACCTAAAAGCAATTATGAAAAAAAGACAAAATAATTCACTTTAGAGGTCGAGAAAAGAACAGATCAAATTAAAAAAATGAGGAATTAAATAAAGGTCAAACAAAAATAGATTAATCTATTAAAAATAGATTAAAACAAAATCCAGAGAGGAGGTTATCAACTAACCAACCAAATACTAAGAATGGGAAATAGATAAAAACTACTGGTATACATAGATTAGGAAAAAAGAGAACTTAAACCTAAAATAAAACACATGGTTTTGTAAGAGTATAAAGAACCAAAACTGCCTGAAGGAATTCTGGAAATACAGAACTCTGTTTTTGCAAAAAAGGTCCCAAAGTCTGAAGTCCATCCATATACCGTTAGAGATAATTTTTGCCCTGTATAAACTGATTGAGAGTAGGGGAAAAATAGGTTTCCCAACTCATTAAAAGAGTTAAATATAACCCTGAAACCAAAACCAAAACTATCCAGTAGAGTTTAAAACTAAAGGCCTAAGTACTAATAAATCTGGTCTTGTGAATGTGTTGTTTGGTTTGTAAATTTTTAGAAGTGAGCTCAAATTAAAATTTTGGAGGTTTAATATAGAATTTACAATTTCCAGTTTTACATGGAAAAAGCTGAGATCTTTTTTTTTTTTTTAAAGATTTATTTATTCATACAGAACTGGGGTACAGGCCAGAGATGCAGAGGGTGAGAGGCTTCACCAGAGACAGAGTGGGAAGCAGAATAGGCAGATCGACGAAGTACACTGCTGAGGGGAGCAGCGGGCGGGTCAGGAGAGGTCTGCCACGCCATGTGGTCACCTCCGGGGCAGGTGGGAATCGAACTCATGCAGAAGCGGCTTTAGCTTCTCAGTGCTGTGCTTTAACCTGCTGCGCCACCAGGGAGGGCCAAAAGCTGAGATCTTTTAACTCTGGGTTTCATTACTATGTGGCAGTAACTGCTTGGAGTTCAGTGACGCTGGGGCCTGCCAGGCTGCCATGTTTTTGCAGAAGAGGAGTCTTCTAGAGTAGTATGAGAGCTCACCTGGACCTAGGTCAGCATGTTCTCGTTTGTCATTTTCCACTACTCCCTAACTCTGAACCAAACACTGGAGGTCACACATATATACATATATACACCTATATCTACACACATATATGTATATATATTCTTTTGTATATTTTCAATTTAAAGTAAAAAAAAATGAAGTATTTAACCAATATTTCTCATTTGCACATACCAGCTGGCACAGAGACAATGCTATTACAGGATCAGAAGGGGGGAGGTGTTAGAAGTCCATCTGTATAGAAGTGTATATTTTTATATATATAAAATTAAGCATATCCAGAGTGTACCAGTGAATGTCAAAGACTCAGATCCCTTCAAAAGCACCCCTATACTAGAGAAAAATACCTAAAATTTAGCTGAGAAAGACTTCTTAAAATCACTCATGTTCCTTTCTCTAACTCTAAACTTGCCAAAGTCACTCTGATTTTAACTGTTTTTCCCACATGACATACCTAAGAGTATAAACATTTTTCTCATAACTAGTCAAAGTTTGAATTCATCTGAAAATT